GCACCAACACCACCAAACACCTGCACACCTGCACCAACACCAACACCTGCACCAACACCTGCACCAACACCTGCACCAACACCTGCACCAACACCAACACCTGCACCAACACCAACACCTGCACCACACCTGCACCAACACCTGCACCAACACCTGCACCAACACCAACACCAACACCAACACCTGCACCAACACCTGCACCAACACCAACACCTGCACCAACACCTGCACCAACACCAACACCTGCACCAACACCTGCACCAACACCAACACCTGCACCAACACCAACACCTGCACCAACACCAACACCTGCACCAACACCTGCACCAACACCAACACCTGCACCAACACCAACACCCACACCTGCACCAACACCTGCACCAACACCTGCACCAACACCAACACCTGCACAAACACCTGCACCAACACCAACACCTGCACCAACACCAACACCTGTGGAGTTTTTTCTGTTTCTCTCTTCAGTCGGTGGAGTTGGTTCTTGGATTCTTGGATTTGTCTTTGGGTCTGATCCTGTACCAGGTCCCGACTCCGTTCAGAAAAGTCCTGCCCGTGGTCTGCCTCAGCGCCGTCCTGGTCCGTCCCTCCGTCCCCCCCCCCCCCCCCCCCGTCTCTCTCTCTCTCCGTTTCATCCCTCTCTCCTCTTCTCCTCCTCAGATGTCCTGTTTGGGCCTTTTGCTCGTCTGTGGAGGCTTCAGACCCGAATACCCCCGTGTAAGATCCACACCTGATCCACACCTGATTCAGACCTGATCCAGACCTGGTTTGGTCTAGTCCTGGTCCTGGTCCTGGTCTAGTCCTGGTCCTGGTCCTGGTCTGGTCCTGGTCCTAGTCCTGGTCCTGGTCCTGGTCTAGTCCTGGTCCTGGTCCTGGTCTAGTCCTGGTCCTGGTCTAGTCCTGGTCCTGGTCTCTTTCAGGTCCGGAGTAACACAGTCCTCCATCTGCCCCTGGTCATACTGAGTCTGGTCTCGTTTGGGTTCTTGGTTCCACATGTTCCATTCAGACTCAGGGAGGTCCAAAGTCTGGACGGGACCTGGGTCTACCTCGAGCCCCACACCACGGTAACTACCCCAGATGCCCTCCCACAAACCCAGATGTCGAGTCCTGGTTTAGTCCTGGTTCAGTCTCTGTGTGTCTAAGCCCCGCCCCTCTCCTCACGGCAGCTCCTGATTGGTGGAGTCCTGGTGGTGTTGGTGACGTCGTTGGTGCTGGAGGCGCTCGTCAGTCTTTACCTCGTCCTGATTGGCTGCTCCGTGATGTCAGACCACGCCCTTCAGGTAACTCCAACAGAAGTGAACCTGCAACAGAAGAACACCAAGTCTCGGTCCGTGTTCTGACCACACGGTCTGAGACCAAGACCGGTCTGAGACCAAGACCGGTCTGAGACCAAGACCGGTCTGAGGTCTGAACATGGAGCGTAGACGTAGACGTGGTCCATGTTCAGACTGTGTTTGGTCTGAACCTGGTGCTCGTCCGTTCGTTTGTCGTCCATAAAACTGAACAGAGTGAAAGTCCAGTAAAGGTCAGTCCAGATGAAATCAGCCGCTCTCCCCTTCGAGCGTCTCAGATTTGGCTGAAAAAATTTCTACAAATTTCTAAAGTTGCCAAATGAAAGAATCTAAAATTTTCGCTCAGTCCCTTGAGTCGTTCCTAAGTTTTGTCCCATGGAAATTTTGGGGCCATGTTCAGTTTTTCTGAAGCTTTAATTTATAAACATGTTTGAGACCAGAACTTTATAAAAATAGAACTCGGAATATTTGTGCATTTGTTTTATTGTAGATTCTTGGTCGTGGGGGGGGGGGGGGGGGGTCAGATTCTGATGAGTTTAAAATCATAAAAACATCGACTATTAACTTTCTTCATTTCAAACGGAATTTTTGAAAATGAGTCTCGTGGGTCGTTTTTGGAGGAGTTTATGTGATGAATTAAAATTTTTGATTTTTTTCATTTGGTAATTTTAGAAATTAAAAAAAAAAAATTTTGAATTTTTTTCGGCCAAATCTGAGACGCTCATGAGGGAGAACGGCTGATTCATCTGGACTGAACCACATGGTTCCTCGTGTTATTGTGTTTTTATTTTATTGTGTTTTTATTTTATTGTGTTTTTATTTTATTGTGTCATGTGAAACAAAAAACGCCCAAACTTTTTGAAAGTCACCCAAATCGTCTCTGTCGGTCTAAATCTTCTCGTCTTCACTCGACGTCGCTCCGGTCGATCTGACAAAACCACAGAACCTCGAGAACTTTAGAGTTTTTATGTGAAACTGAAAAAAAAAAAAACCTCTTTGTTTTATTTCATTTAAATATTTCTGTCTGTTTTCTCCCACACAGAGTAAAGTCCCTGAATGGAGCACAACCACCGAACCAGAATCAGAACTAAGCCAGGACCAGACCGAACTGGGACTAAACCAGGACCAGACTGAACCGGGACTGGGACTAAACCAGGACCAGACTGAACCGGGACTGGGACTAAACCAGGACCAGACTGAACCGGGACTGGGACTAAACCAGGACCAGACTGAACCGGGACTAAACCAGGACCAGACTGAACCGGGACTGGGACTAAACCAGGACCAGACTGAACCGGGACTGGGACTAAACCAGGACCAGACTGAACCGGGACTGGGACTAAACCAGGACCAGACTGAACCGGGACTGGGACTAAACCAGGACCAGACTGAACCGGGACTGGGACTAAACCAGGACCAGACTGAACCGGGACTGGGACTAAACCAGGACCAGACTGAACCGGGACTGAACCGGGACTGGGACTAAACCAGGACCAGACTGAACTGGGACTGGGACTAAACCATCTAAAGCAGGACCAGACTGACCCGGTGTTCCGGATTGTCTGGTGATCATCTTAACTGGTAAAGGCGGAGCCACATCTGGAAGCATGAACCACTCAACACCTGATCTGGTCGCTGGTCCAGACGCTCCTATAACAGGTGCCATATCACTGTGTCATGTAACAAATAAAAATGGTCAAGCACAAAATGGTGTCCGTGTCGTCACTGTCATGAATGTGTTTGTGTAGACGTGTACAGATTTATATAATGTGAACAATGATCTAGTTCACACAATCTGCTACCAAAATATGGACTGACTCATTGCATCATTTTAACACAATCACCCAGAGTGAAATATTACACAACATCTCGCTGTGAAAACATCAAACTACATCTCCTGCTTCCAGACCCAGATGTGGTGGGCGTGTCCACTCGGCTGTAGATGCGGTGGGCGTGTCCACTCGGCTGTAGAGGCGGTGGGCGTGTCCACTCGGCTGTAGATGCGGTGGGCGTGTCCACTCGGCTGTAGATGCGGTGGGCGTGTCCACTCGGCTGTAGATGCGGTGGGCGTGTCCACTCGGCTGTAGATGCGTGTGGCGTGTCCACTCGGCTGCAGATGCGGTGGGCGTGTCCACTCGGCTGTAGATGCGGTGGGCGTGTCCACTCGGCTGTAGAGGCGGTGGGCGTGTCCACTCAGCTGCAGATGCGGTGGGCGTGTCCACTCGGCTGTAGATGCGGTGGGCGTGTCCACTCAGCTGTAGATGTGGTGGGCGTCCCCCAGAACCTGGACCGGACTTTTGGGTTTGAACCGGGTCTGGTTCTGTTTTTTCACCTGTCGTCGCCTCACAGACAAATCCTGGAGTCTTGGGACTGGACCCAGAAGAATCAACAGGTCCAGAACTTCACCAACGTCACAATTCACTTTCTGTCCAAACACTGTGGATCTGTTTTATAAAACACAATTCGTTTGGATTTTTTATTTTATTTTATTTTTTTGAGAAATACAATTTTTATAGCTACAAGTTTCACCAGATTAAATCACATTTTTTGTTTTTTGTCTCTTTTACAGCAACAACAAATCAAAGCTCTTTTCCCATGAGCCTTTGTGTTTCTCCTTCTTAAAGTTCCAGTTATTACAAAATTCCAAAGAAACGATTCAATTAACAATAAATTTAGTCGTATGAATTTTTTAACAGAAATTCTGCATTAAAGTTTTCAAGGCACCAAATTTACAAACTCACGACTGAACCGACCACCAAAAAAAAAAAAGTCCCAGTTTTTGATTTTGAAAATGTTCTCAAATGTTCTGTAACAGTTAAACCGAGTTAAGACACAAAATAAATATTTATATTGGTTAAAAAAAATAATAAAGATTTCAGTAACAAAACTAAACCTGAGCAGAAAACTGAACATTGACTCGGTCTTTGCCCGTAAATGATTTGGTTAAATCGCTGCAGTGCGCCCTCATGTGGACACTAACGTTTACTACACTAACAGTTAAATCACCTCAAATTTAACCAAAATTAAAATGAACAAATAAAGAAAATGAAGTTTGTGTTTGTGTCTGAGCATGGATCTATTAAAAAAAATAATAATAATAAAAAATAAAATAAAATAAAAAATAAAATACAACAACAAACAACAACAACAACAATAATAATAATAATAATAATAATAATAATAACAATAATAATATTTTTGTGTGGAGTTTGCATGTTCTGCCTGCGTCTGTGCAAGTTTGGAGAAAATATGTCAAGACAAAGATGAAACTTTATGAACAAAACATTTAATAAACTTTGAATGATTTCTGCGGCCTTTTTGTTCATGAATCAAACAATAAAAATGTGAAAGTGGAAAATAAAAACTCAGATTTCAGTTTTATTTATTTATTCCTGAAAAAGCGACACAAACCCACGAGCAAGAACCAACCCGGAAGTAAACAAAGCCCCGTGCGCATGCGCCAGAGAACCGAACGAACCAGGACTAAACCAGGACTAAACCAGGTCTAAACCAGGACTAAACCAGGACTAAACCAGGTCTAAACCAGGACTAAACCAGGTCTAAACCAGGACTAAACCAGGACTAAACCAGGTCTAAACCAGGTCTAAACCAGGACTAAACCAGGACTAAACCACTAAACAGGACTAAACCAGGACTAAAAACCAGGTCTAAACCAGGAAAAAACCAGGACTAAACCAGGACTAAACCAGGACTAAACCAGAACTAAACCAGGACTAAACCAGGACTAAAACAGGACTAAACCAGAACTAAACCAGGACTAAACCAGGACTAAACCAGGACTAAACCAGGACTAAACCAGAACTAAACCAGGGCTAAACCAAAACTAAACCAGGGCTAAACCCGGACTGTTGTTGATGGAGACTCTGCGCAGGGTCTTGGTGTTTGTGGCCAAAGATCTTCAAAGGTCGAGTCCTCAGAAAGTCCAGTTCCTGCAGGTCAGTGAGACCAGAACCAGGATCAGATTAGAACCAGGACCAGGACCAGGACCAGGACCAGGACCAGGACTGATCCAGAGTTGGTCCTGGTCTGGATCCTGCTCGTCTGAAACTCAGAATCACCGAACAAAAGACACGAACGTGAAACATCACACACGAGTCAGGACCTCACCGAGGTCCTCCCAGGTCCTTTCAGGTCCTCCCAGGTCCACCGAGGTCCTCACAGGTCCTCTGAGGTCCTCTGAGACACTCTGAGTCTCTCGCACCGCCGTTTGAGAAACACTGGACTCGTAGTTCAGAAACTCACAGACATGAAACCTGCTCTGGTCCTTGTTTAGTCCCAGTCTGGTCCTGATCCCGGTCTGGTCCTGATCTCATCCCGGTCCTGGTCCTGATCCCGGTCTGGTCCTGATCCCGGTCTGGTCCTGATCCCGGTCTGGTCCTGATCTCCGGTCTGGTCCTGATCCCGGTCTGGTCCTGGTCTGGTCCTGGTCTTTGCAGACTGTGGTCGGACTCTTGGACGGAGCCGATGACGAACTGAAGGTGAAATTTAAACTGGAACAAAACCGGTTCATCCTGAGTCCGGACTCCAGCCCCCGAGGAGTCCCACTGAGGGTAAGACCAGGACCAGGACCAGGACTAAGACCAGGACCAGGACTAAATGAGGACTAACCCGGGTCCTGTCCTCCTCAGAGACCGTCCTTCTGTCCGATCAAGCACCTGTCCGTCACAGAAGCTGCTGCGATCCCATTGGACGTCAGACAGAGGGGAGTGGACGTGGGCGTGGCCATCCTCCTGCAGACGTCCAATCAGAGGCTTCTCCTGACGCGGCGAGCGAAACACCTCAGAATCTTCCCCAACGTCTGGGTCCCCCCAGGTATCGCCCAGACCGGGTCCGGACCAGGTCTGGACCGAGCCCGGACTGAGTCCGGACCAGGTCCAGACTGGGTTCAGTCCTGAGTCTTGTTTCTCTCTGAGCAGGTGGACATATTGAACCAAACGAGACGGTGAGAAACTTTTATAATGAACCTGTTAAACCAGAACTAAACCTGGACTAAACCTGGACTAAACCTGGACTAAACCAGGACTAAACCAGGACTAAAACAGGACTAAACAGGATTAAACCAGGACTAAAGCTGGTCTTGTTTAGGTGCTGGAGGCTGGACTCCGGGAGCTGAAGGAGGAGACTGGACTCTGTCTGGACCAAGACCAGGTTCAGACTCGGGTCTTGGGACTTTGGGAGGTTTGTCCTGATTTTAGAAACTTCTCCACAAGAACTTAGTATTTGTACTGTAGTTTTGTAGTCCTGTTTTAGTCCTGTTTTAGTCCTGTTTTAGTCCTGTTTTAGTCCTGTTTTAGTCCTGTTTAGTCCTGGTTTAGTCCTGGTTTAGTCCTGTTTTAGTCCTGGTTTAGTCCTGGTTTAGTCCTGGTTCTGTCCTGGTTTAGTCCTGGTTCTGCTCTGGTTCCAGTCCGTGTTTCCTGCCGTCCTGAGCAGAGGTTTTCCTCAGAGGCATCACATCGTCGTCTACGTCCTCCTCAAGACCCTCAGAGACCATCAGGACCTGCAGGTACCAGACCAGGACCAGAACCAGGACCAGACCAGGACCAGACCAGGACCAGACCAGGACCAGACCAGGACCAGACCAGACCAGGACCAGGACCAGGACCAGGACCAGACCAGGACCAGACCAGGACCAGAACCAGGACCAGACCAGGACCAGACCAGACCAGACCAGGACCAGACCAGGACCAGACCAGGACCAGACCAGGACCAGACCAGACCAGACCAGACCAGACCAGACCAGGACCAGACCAGGACCAGACCAGGACCAGAACCAGGACCAGACCAGGACCAGACCAGGACCAGACCAGACCAGAACCAGGACCAGAACCAGGACCAGAACCAGGACCAGACCAGGACTAGACCCTGGAGACCAGACCAGGTTCAGTTCCTGGTCTTGTTTTGGCAGTTGGACCTGAGTCCGTCGGCGTTGGAGGTGAGCACCTGTCTGTGGGCGGAGCCTCGTCTGATCCGAGCAGCTCTGACCAACGAGGACTACGGCCAAGACTCAGTCAGGTACTGGACTAGTCCGGGTTCAGACCCGGTTCAGATCCGGTTCAGACCCGGTTCAGACTTGTTCTTTCCTCTTCAGGGCCTCTGAAGTTTCTTCAGACGGGTCTTTGAGTGAAGTCTCGATCCCGGTCTCGGTCTTCAGGGCCTCGGCTCCGGATCACGGCCCGGATCTGGAGCGGATCAGCACCGGGACCAAGTACGCCCTGAGTCTGTGGCTCCAGGACCTGGACCAGGACCGGACTTGAACCTGGACCAGACTGGAGCAAACCTGGACCTGGTGCAGCTCAGCGCAGCGATGAATTTAAAATAAACCGAGAAAAACACAAAGATATTTGAGTGTTTCTGATTCCAGGACTAAACCGGGACTAAAACGGGACTAAACCAGAACTAAACCGGGACTAAACCAGGACTAAACCAGACTAAAACCGGGACTAAAACCAGGACTAAACCAGGACTAAACGACTAAACCAGACTAAACCGGACTAACCGGACTAAACCAGGACTAAAGGACTAAACCGGGACTAAACCAGGAACTAAACCAGGACTAAACCAGGACTAAACTAAAAGGACTAAACCAGGACTAAACCAGAACTTAAACCGGACTTAAACCAGACTTAAACCGACTAAACGGACTAAACAGACTAAACCAGAACAAACCGGACTAAAACAGGACTAAACCAGGACTAAACCAGAACTAAACCAGGACTTAAACGGACTAAACCAGGACTAAACCAGAACTTAAAACGGGACTAAACAGGACTAAACCGGGACTACCAGGACTAAACGCTAAACCGGGACTAAACCAAGAACTAAACCGGGACTAAACCGAAAACCAGGACTAAACCGGGACTAGACTAAACAGGACTACATTCATTAAAAGTCGAGACTTTTTGCACATTTTCCAGGTTTTATTTGAGCTGCAGCCGAGAGAACAGGACCAAGACACAAACATTTACAGTTTTACACTTTCAATCCTTTTTACATCGTTTTTTTAAAACCGTATTTACACCTCGAGCTCTTCGCCGTCCTGGGACTCGGGGGGCGGGCCGTCTCCGCGGGGGGGGGCGGGCCGTCGCGCGGGGGGCGGGCCGTCGCCGCGGGGGGCGGGCGTCCGCGCGGGGGGGCGGGCCGTCGCCGCGGGGGGGCCGTCTCCGCGGGGGGGGCGGCGTCGCGGGGGCGGGCCGTCGGGGGGGCGGGCCGTCGCCGCGGGGGGGGCGGGCCGTCGCCGCGGGGACACACATGCGTTGAACGTCACGACACTTCACACGGTCAGAGACTCGTACAGAATCGTGGGTAAAAAATGCGGCGTTTGTTTACATACGTGTTTTATATTTGAGCAAAAATACAGGAGCTGAAGGTTCTGAAGCTGCAGATGAACTTTTAACGACTTCAGTGGAACATCTTAAAGCTGCACTTCGTTACATTTCTGCCACCTGCTCGTCTCCATGGAGATGTTCTTGTTTGGCCCGGAATGTCCCGCAGTGCGGCATTAAAACCGGACAAACACCTGCACATGTGACACGTGTGACAGAGGCGCGGTTAATGCTGCACTGTGGAACATCCCGGACCAAACGAGAACATCTCCATGGAGACGAGCAGGTGGCAGAAAAGTTACACAGTGCTCCTTTAAAACAATGAATTCACATCATTTTAAGTCCGGAGGCTCCACCTGCGATTCAGAGGCTCTTATTTTGAAAAACCTTCGTAGTGTCACGTTTACACGAGGATTTAATCTGAACTAAATCTTCTCTTGTTGTTTCCGTGTTGAATTTTTGTTAAACTGGTGAAATGTTTTTATTTCACGTGTGTGAGCGTCTGAGTTTGTGTTTCCTCCACGAACACAAACTCCTGCCAAACTTTTCCCACAGTGATTCTGAGGAGAAATGTGAAGCAGCAGATTCTGAATCATCAGTGTTTACATGGACTTTAAAGAATTCACTTTCATTCAGAGTTAAATTCTTCAGATTCAGAGTTAAATTCTTCAGATTCAGAGTTAAATTCTTTAGATTCAGAGTTAAATTCTTCAGATTCAGAGTTAAATTCTTCAGATTCAGAGTTAAATTCTTAGATTCAGAGTTAAATTCTTAGATTCAGAGTTAAATTCTTTAGATTCAGAGTTAAATTCTTAGATTCAGAGTTAAATTCTTTAGATTCAGAGTTAAATTCTTTAGATTCAGAGTTAAATTCTTAGATTCAGAGTTAAATTCTTTAGATTCAGAGTTAAATTCTTAGATTCAGAGTTAAATTCTTTAGATTCAGAGTTAAATTCTTCAGATTCAGAGTTAAATTCTTTAGATTCAGAGTTAAATTCTTTAGATTTAAATTCTTCAGATTCAGAGTTAAATTCTTTAGATTCAGAGTTAAATTCTTCAGATTCAGAGTTAAATTCTTAGATTCAGAGTTAAATTCTTCAGATTCAGAGTTAAATTCTTCAGATTCAGAGTTAAATTCTTAGATTCAGAGTTAAATTCTTCAGATTCAGAGTTAAATTCTTCAGATTCAGAGTTAAATTCTTCAGATTCAGAGTTAAATTCTTCAGATTCAGAGTTAAACGTCTCGTGTAAACGTGGCGTTCGTGTCTTTTATTTTGAAGGACGTTCAGGCGGCGAAGCTTCGGGTCTTGTCATTTTTAGCACGTTAAAAGGTGAGTTAGCACAGTTAGCGCGGGTCTGGTACGCAGCCCCGCCCACATATTTACACGTCTGCAAATGAGCAGGTCTGCAGTTTGATTGACAGCTGCGGTGGACCAATCAGAGGCGGGGAAAGCGGTGCAGTGTTTTTCTAGAAGAGTCTTTGCAGTGGTTCCGGTCTAACTACGGTCTCATGCAAAACCCACCACCAGGGGGCGCCACGCGGGCAGAGGGCACCACCAGGGGGCACCACCAGGGGGCACCACCAGGGGGCACTGTCTTCAAGGAAAAGATTAAACTTGTGACAAAAACAAAACAAGAGTCCATTTCCATGTCCAGTCCATGCATCAGCTCCATCTGGGCGGAGGTCAGAGGTCGGAGGGGCAGGGGTCAGAGGGTCAGGGGTCGGATGGGGTCAGAGGTCAGCCCTGCCACATCATCCACGTCCGCTTCTCGTTCTCCAAATGAAAACTGGACCCACAGATTTCAGGTTCCTTTTCACCGGGGGGGGGGGGTTGACATTTTTATGTGACGAGGTCAGACTGGAGCTGGTGGGGGGGGGGGGGGGGCACTACATGTCTTCTATGGTGTTTTTTATCTGTTCAGATCAGGATTTGGAACCAGACTCGGGTCAAACGGATCTGGGGCTTTTCTGCTCTGACATTTTTGTTTTAAAGAAATTCTGTTTTCTGATCCTGATTTTATGCTTAAAGCTGCAGAATCCAGATCAGAACTGGACTAAACCAGGACTAAACTAGGACTAAACCAGGACTAAACCAGGACTAAACCAGGACTACACCAGGTCTAAACCAGGTCTAAACCAGGACTAAACCAGGTCTAAACCAGGACTAAAATGTCACAAAAATAAACTTGATTTCAGGAGTAAAAAGTGGATTTGATACGATTCTGATTCCCAAATGTTCATTTTTAAAATCTTTTTTGTACATTATTTTCCTTTTCAACACAGAGTATAATTATTATTAGTTGTTATTATATTTATATTTATATTCTCATATTACTGGAGTTTGACGTCATGTGGATCAGACTCACTTCGTCTCGTTTGTCACTTTTTCAGTATCGATTTCTGCTCAGACGAGGATCTAGTTTCGATACGAGCTTCGATAACAGGTTCAGTTTTGATTCGTCTGTTATTTTCGATACTTGGTGCAGGTATCGATCTTTGCCCAGGTCCAGCCCTGAGGAGAAGAATCGTCTCCGTCTCTGATCTGATCTTCGTCTAGAGCCTCGAGATTAAAGAGCCGCTAAACCCCGACGACGATTCTGTGTGAATGTGTCGAAAACAGAAGTGTGTCTCGGTCTCTGTGGGACTTTTTAGTGCAGATTTGTTCGTAACTGGATCAACTACGTCCAGACCAGCGCCCCCTAGTGTCTCCGCTCACATTCATGTGTCTCCAGCTCCAGGTCAGAATCAGAAAACACCAGACGGTTTGAAGAACGTCGGGCCGGATGGAGACGAAGAGACAGACGTTCTGTGTCGGTGACGATTCCCCAGATCCTCGAGGATTTACAACCAGAACAAAGAGAATGTTTGGTGAATTTGATCAAGGACACAGAGGAAAATCTGTGTCCTTGATCAAATCTGTCTGAGATTTTTCAGGACAAACACGAGGTCGTTTTTTGTTCTGATAAATCTCACTATGTGCAGGTAAAACAGTGTGTGGGTTTTTCTCTCTGTTCTTGAGCTGCTCCGTCTCCTCAACGTCTCAAACAGCTCAGGGGTGAACTTCTCATTCTTTTGTATCGTTGAATTTGATCTCGGGGAAAGTCGTTCTTGTTCTTCTTCCTGTGGGATTTGGAGCTTTACAAACGACACGACCAAACAGCAGCGACTGGTTCAATTAAAAAAGTCCCGTCTCCTGTTGGGTGAACGAATCCTAAAGCTGCAGGTCACACGGTTTCCACCAAGTGAAACTGTGTGATGAATCAGACTCATCAACCACGGTCAGAACTAGGGACGGGCATGATTAATCGATTAATCGATTCATTTGAATGGACAAACTGAATGTATATGTGTGTGTGTGTGTGTGTGTGTGTGTCGTGACCAAACAGGTGTGTACATGTGTCTCTGCATCAGAAGGAGCGACACACAAACAGTGGGTCAGTCTGTAACGAACCGAAGCACAAATGTGGATTTAACCAGGATTTGTAGAAGAAATTCCACACTTTCCGTTGCGTTGGGACAAGTGTGAGTCCATGTGCACAGTGGATAAAGCAGCACATATGTTTCTGTGTCCAGTGGGAAAAAGTTTTTCCAGGTGAGAGTCGCTCAATGTGGATGACGAGGCCCCGCCCCCCTCCCCCCGTACGCTGTCCTGGTTTTGACAAACACAAATCTGGTCACACTGACCTGTATTCACCTGAGTCATGTCTTTTAATCCAACACAAGTTGAACCACATCAGCGACACAAGAGCTGGAGTTTTATCTTCACTTAGTTTATGTAAATTAGTGATGTGGTTTTAAGTTTTGTTTCTGTGAGATTTGAACAAAACTGAATTAAACACATTATAATGTCAAACAGCTGATGTGGATCTAGAGTCGTTATGTTTATATGTCGTAAAGTTGAATTGATTGATGCAGATTAGTGCAGATAGTAATAATAATGATGATCATTTTAATAGAAAAACCTTCATGATTAATCGATAATCGATCGATAATTCTTCTGACGATCGATTAAGAACATTTCATCAAATGCCCGTCCCTGGTCAGGAGGTTTGAGTTTTTGTGTTGGACAAACGGCGTCGTCGAGTCAGACGCAGGTTTTTATGTGATTATATTAGTCTAGTTTTTTGCGGGTTTAGTGGCTCTTTAAAGTTGAGGAACATTGTTCTGCTCCGTCCTGCAGTCGTCCACACGAGGAGCTGATCCAACACAACAAAAACACTTTTCAACTTTTAAAGTCGGGATGCAAGAGGAAACGGCGTGAAAACGTGATTCAGAACAATCTAGAGTCACTGACAAATCCTCCTCTAAATATTTGTTATAGTTGCAGCTAAAAGCAGAGGAACTACACATCCCATGATCCTCTGCTCCGCGCGGCCGACACCAAGACGTTTAAACATGAAGGAGAGCAGAAGGAGAGACCGCGCGGTGACGGGGCCAGTCTGTTTCAGGGCAGGTCTCTCACTTCAGCAGAACCAAACTAAAGAGTTCAGAATCCGACCGGAACCGAGACAGACCCTTTAAAAGTCTCAACCCCAGAACCCACAAATAACACTGGGTTTTTTACTCTCCTCAAGTCTGAAGCTCCTGGAGCACACAAACTCTGGACTTCACGTCACGTTCTCATGTTCTGATGTTCTGATGTTCTGATGTTCTGATGTTCTGATGTTCTCATGTTCTGATGTTCTGATGTTCTCATGTTCTGATGTTCTCATGTTCTGATGTTCTCATGTTCTGATGTTCTCATGTTCTGATGTTCTCATGTTCTGATGATGTTGTGTTTTTTTCCAAACGTCTGTTCCATCGAAGAGAATTTGTTCCATCAGATTTAGAATTTTAAATCCTGCTGAATTTCTCATTTTGAATGAAACTCTGAAAAAATATGTTGGAATTATTTTTATTCTCCATTTTAGTTGCTGAGATTTTAAATCTGTGTGTCGTTTGTTCATTTGTTTTAATATATACACATATATATATATATATATATATATATATATTATATATATATATATATATATATATTATATATATATTATATACATATATATATATATATATATATATATATATATATATATATATATATATATATATATATATATATATATATATATATATATATATATATATATATATATATATATATATATATATATATATACATATATATATATATATATATATATATATATATATATATATATATATACATATATATATATATATATATATATATACATATATATATATATATATATATATATATATATATATATATATATATATATATATATATATATATTATGTATATATATATATACACATATATATATATATATATATATATATATATATATATATATATATATATATATATATATATATATATATACATATATATATATATATATATATATATATATATATATATATATATATATATATATATATATATATATATATACACTACATATATATAATATATATATATATATATGTATATATATATATATATATATATATATATATATATATATATATATACACATACATATATATATATATGTGTATATAATTATAATTTTTTTGGCATCTTGGATCTTTCCTGTGAAATTTGACACTCAAAATTTTGACTGTTGAATTTAAGGACTTGAAAATATTTATGCTGAATATTTAAAAGGTGAAAAATATTTTATTCTGAATTTGAATCATATTGAAGAAAAATATAATTAGAATTTCAGAATAAAATTGAGAATAAAAATTATTCCACCATGTTTCTTCAGAGTTAAAAAAAATTCTGCGGGATTTCAAATTCTAAATCTGATGGAACAAATTCTCTCCTGTCCTGATCCACCTCGTGATGTCATCAAGTGAACAGGACTGAAACGTTCCAGATGATTCTAGTGAAGGTGTGCGGAGTTTAAAAACACAGTGGAGCACTTCCTGTATCACCACACGATGACATCACGAGGTGGAACAGTAGTTTTCAGAGCAGGTTTGTGTGATTCAGGAGTTTTATTTTGAACCTTCTGCTCCGGTGGTTCTGGACTTGTGCGTGGAGACTTTTTGAGGGTCTGTGGCGCCGCCGGGAGCCTGGCGCCGCCTCACACCGGCGCCAGGCTGTGCCACTTGGAGATCTGGCGGCGCGGGCTGTGGCACACCTGGCTCCAGTGCGCCGCCCCGGTGGAGGACGGGCTGCACAGGCCCAGCTGGAGCCGACCCAGGACCTGGTTCTTGGTGGTCCGGTCGAAGTCCAGGACCAGGAGCTCGAGGCTGATCTGGGGCAGCAGGTCCGGGGGGATGTCGTAGATGAAGGACTCGTTGAAGACCGGGTTCAGCGTGCTCTTCTTCACGTGAGTCTTCTTCTTGGCGATGCGTTTGCGCCCGTAGAAAACGTTCACCTTCACGTACGGGTCTGTGACAGAAAAGACCCTCGTTAGACCGGGTTTAGTCCTGGTTTAGTCCTGGTTCAGTCCTGGTTTAGTCCTGGTTTAGTCCTGGTTTAGTCCTGGTCTGGTCCTGGTCTAGTCCTGGTTTAGTCCTGGTTTAGTCCTGGTCTGGTCCTAGTCCTGGTTTAGTCCTGGTTTAGTCCTGGTCTGGTCCTGGTTTAGTCCTGGTTTAGTCCTGGTCTGGTCCTGGTTTAGTCCTGGTTTAGTCCTGGTTTAGTCCTGGTTTAGTCCTGGTCTGGTCCTGGTTTAGTCCTGGTTTAGTCCTGGTTTAGTTCCTGGTTTAGTCCTGGTCTGGTCCTGGTTTAGTCCTGGTTTAGTCCTGGTTTAGTTCCTGGTTTAGTCCTGGTTAGTCCTGGTTTAGTCCTGGTTTAGTCCTGGTTTAGTCCTGGTTTAGTCCTGGTTTATTCCTGGTTTAGTCCTGGTCTGGTCCTGGTTTAGTCCTGGTTTAGTCCTGGTTTAGTCTTGGTCTGGTCCTGGTTTAGTCCTGGTTAAGTCCTGGTTTATTCCTGGTTTAGTCCTGGTCTGGTCCTGGTTTAGTCCTGGTTTATTCCTGGTTTAGTCCTGGTTTAGTCCTGGTCTGGTCCTGGTCTGGTCCTGGTTTAGTCCTGGTCTGGTCCTGGTTTAGTCCTGGTTTAGTCCTGGTTTAGTCCTGGTTTAGTCCTGGTTTAGTCCTGGTCTGGTCCTGGTTCAGTCCTGGTTAAGTCCTGGTTTATTCCTGGTTTAGTCCTGGTCTGGTCCTGGTCTGGTCCTGGTTTAGTCCTGGTTTAGTCCTGGTTTAGTCCTGGTTTAGTCCTGGTTTAGTCCTGGTTTAGTCCTGGTTTAGTCCTGGTTTAGTCCTGGTCTGGTTTAGTCCTGGTTTAGTCCTGGTCTGGTCCTGGTTTAGTCCTGGTTTAGTCCTGGTTTAGTCCTGGTTTTAGTCCTGGTTTCCTGGTCCCTGGTTTAGTCCTGGTTTAGTCCTGGTTTAGTCCTGGGTTTAGTCCTGGTTTAGTCCTGTTTAGCCTGGTTTAGTCCTGGTTTAGTCCTGGTTTAGTCCTGGTTTAGTCCTGGTCTGGTCCTGGTTTAGTCCTGGTTTAGTCCTGGTTTAGTCCTGGTTTAGTCCTGGTCCTGGTTTAGTCTGGTCCTGGTTTAGTCCTGGTTTAGTCCTGGTTTAGTCCTGGTTCCTGGTTTAGTCCTGGTTTAGTCCTGGTTAGTCCTGGTTTAGTCCTGGTTTAGTCCTGGTCCTGGTTTAGTCCTGGTTTAGTCCTGGTTTAGTCCTGGTTTAGTCCTGGTTTAGTCCTGGTCTGGTCCTGGTTTAGTCCTGGTTTAGTCCTGGTTTAGTCCTGGTCCTGGTCCTGGTTTAGTCCTGGTTTAGTCCTGGTTTAGTCCTGGTTTAGTCCTGGTTTAGTCCTGGTCCTGGTCCTGGTTTAGTCCTGGTTTAGTCCTGGTTTAGTCCTGGTTTAGTCCTGGTTTAGTCCTGGTCCTGGTTTAGTCCTGGTTTATCCTGGTTTAGTCCTGGTTTAGTCCTGGTTTAGTCCTGGTTTAGGGTCCTGGTTTAGTCCTGGTTTAGTCCTGGTTTAGTCCTGGTTTAGTCCTGGTTCCTGGTTAGTCCTGGTTTAGTCCTGGTTTAGTCCTGGTTTAGTCCTGGTTTAGTCCTGGTCCTGGTCCTGGTTTAGTCCTGGTTTTAGTCCTGGTTTAGTCCTGGTCCTGGTCCTGGTTTAGTCCTGGTTTAGTCCTGGTTTAGTCCTGGTTTAGTCCTGGTTTAGTCCTGGTTTAGTCCTGGTTTTAGTCCTGGTTTAGTCCTGGTTTAGTCCTGGTTTAGTCCTGGTCTGGTCCTGGTTTAGTCCTGGTTTAGTCCTGGTTTAGTCCTGGTTTAGTCCTGGTTTAGTCCTGGTTTAGTCCTGGTTTAGTCCTGGTTTAGTCCTGGTTCAGTCCTGGTCTGGTCCTGGTTTAGTCCTGGTTTAGTCCTGGTCTGGTCCTGGTTTAGTCCTGGTTTAGTCCTGGTTTAGTCCTGGTTTAGTCCTGGTCTCACTGGCAGACAGGCTGGAGTCCATCTTGGGCAGGTTTCTGGCCTTCAGGACGACGACGCTGAGACGATGAGACACGGGCTGATAACACAACGACATGAGGAGCTCACCACAACCCGCCGCCTGTAACACAACAACACACAATTATACACACAACACACAACCCGCCGCCTGTAACACAACAACACACAATTATACACACAACACACAACCCGCCGCCTGTAACACAACAACACACAATTATACACACAACACACAACCCGCCGCCTGTAACACAACAACACACAATTATACACACAACACACAACCCGCCGCCTGTAACACAACAACACACAATTATACACACACACAACACACAACCCGCCGCCTGTAACACAACAACACACAATTATACACACAACACACAACCCGCCGCCTGTAACACAACAACACACACAATTATACACACAACACACAACCCGCCGCCTGTAACACAACAACACACACACAATTATACACACACACAACACACAACCCGCCGCCTGTAACACAACAACACACAATTATACACACAACACACAACCCGCCGCCTGTAACACAACAACACACAATTATACACACACACACAACACACAACGCACACAACACACAACACACAATTATACACACAACACACAACCCGCCGCCTGTAACACAACAACACACAATTATACACACAACAACACACAACCCGCCGCCTGTAACACAACAACACACACACACATTATACACACAACACACACAACCCGCCGCCTGTAACACAACAACACACACATTATACACACACAACACACAACCCGCCGCCTGTAACACAACAACACACAATTATACACACAACACACAACCCGCCGCCTGTAACACAACAACACACAATTATACACACACACACACACACCCGCCGCCTGTAACACAACAACACAACACAATTATACACACAACACACAACCCGCCGCCTGTAACACAACAACACACAATTATACACACAACACACAACCCCGCCGCCTGTAACACAACAACACACAATTATACACACAACACACAACCCGCCGCCTGTAACACAACAACACACAATTATACACACAACACACAACCCGCCGCCTGTAACACAACAACACACACAATTATACACACAACACACAACCCGCCGCCTGTAACACAACAACACACAATTATACACACAACACACAACCCGCCGCCTGTAACACAACAACACACACTTATACACACACACAACACACAATCATACACACAACACACAACACACAATTATACACACAACACACAACCCGCCGCCTGTAACACAACAACACAACACACAATTATACACACAATTATACACACAACACACAATTATACACACAACACACAATTATACACACAACACACCATTATACACACAACACACAACCCGCCGCCTGTAACACAACACACAACACAATTATACACACAACACACAACCCGCCGCCTGTAACACAACAACACACACACAATTATACACACAACACACAACCCGCCGCCTGTAACACAACAACACACAATTATACACACAACACACAACCCGCCGCCTGTAACACAACAACACACACAATTATACACACAACACACAACCCGCCGCCTGT